CCGATCTCCACTCACTTTCTCTCGCTCTTTCTCTATCCCTCCATACGGCGATATATTCGAATGCCGAAGTCCAGGATAGCTTTAAAATAGCATTTGAATCAGTCTCAGATTCTTGCTCTCTCCGACTTTGTGTAGGGAAATTGAAGGGAATATCATGCATATGTATATATATATATATATATATACATATATATGTATTCTTGCCTCTCGTTATCGAATATACGCATCCTTTGATTAATTATTTTTAAATAAAAGTCTCGAGACGAACCGAGCTTGTTGTAGATTATCATTTATATGGCAAAAATAAATGGAGCTTGTAAAAGAAAGTCAATTCACATCATCAATTCACACGATCGTTACAACGCTAATGTAACATAATCTATTCTAACCAAATATCCGAGTAGAAATAAATCAGGCTGAAGCGAGCAAACTGAATGACAACTGACCAGGAATCTGGTTACTGGCCCGTTACTGGCTATATTCTGATTTATTTTCTCGGATATTTATTCAAGTCTGCGGTCGAGTACAATTCTACGATGAAAAATGAGGATGTTTAATGGGAAAATTTAACATTCGAGGGATCGTGTAACCAAAACGTAGTATTAACTTCACAAAAAAAAAGAGAGAGAGAAGAATGATGCGTCCGAGTAATGTAAGGGTTCTGAAAGGGATGAATTCTACCGCCGAATCACGACTGGTCGTTATTAGGGGATCATCGCCGAAGTGTGGACGATAGAAAAACGGAAGTGGAGTCTTCGTTGGGAATTACCACCTGTCATTTCAATTCGATTCGACACGAGCGGTTCCGTCGCGGGCAGGTAACGGTCCGCCAGCCGGTATTGTTCGGCTATTTATTGCCCGACGCCGCCATTATTTGCCTATAAAAGGGAAACTCGAGGTGGGTTTTCTATGCCATGAGCCGCCGCTCCGCCTCCCTCACTCTCGTTAGTGAAACCTCGAGTGGTCGCTGAACGCGCGAACCGGATGTTGCTCCCGGTGTGATTTATGAGTTCTTGGAAGACCTACCCGAACATTTTCGCTATTGCTTCCCCGGGCCGATCCTGGATAACTTTCCGCGTCTCGAACACGCGACCTTGCATGCGCGATGCTACCGAACGCAACATCGCGCCTTTGATTCCACCTCGGGAAAAAGATATTTATCTAATGTACCATCTAAATGACGTTGTAAGTTAATTGGATGGCTTTTAGGTCAAAGAAGCAAAACATCTGTACTCTCTTATATAGCACCTTTCTATACAGAACTGCAAAAAGAGTTCGTCTAACGAACGAAATGATTTAGAATTCTCGACTGTATTCGCAACTAAAAATAATTACAGCCGTCGCTCTTGATACTCATACTTTTTGCTACACAAGAATCAATTTGTATCGTTCGATTGCTGGAAAGTTGTTAAGAAACGTGTTTGACGCGTTAAGCCGTGTGTACATATCGAGTCCCTCGTATCGATAACGGAGCACAATCCTGCAAGTGACACGCACCATTCTGGCGGATTAAAGTGCTAATTCATTTCGCGCTGGTGCGTTATTTCGATCGTAAATCAGGATGAATGCTTCGATAACCCGAGCACGATAAAACTGCCATTCTCCCGTGGAAAATAGCGCCGACCTAGATCTGTCCCCCCATGCGCGTGGACGTATATCGTCGTGTAATTATTGCGCTCTGAATGAAGTCATTAATAGTCATTACCTACGTCTAACGCTGTAATTGATATATCGTTAACGGCCGACGATGGCTCGACCATACTGCTCTAATTGATCTTGATGAGCTCGCGCGGCGAGTAAAGATTATACGTTTGGAGCGTGCATTGTCTCTCAAACCGCCGTACAGCGGTCACGCGTTCATAAAAAATGCAGGAAAATGTTTACATAACTCTGCCGCATATAATCGCCGTAAGTATATATAGAGCCGCGTATTGCGTCATTGACGTTAAAACAGATCGTGTTCTCGTGTTCGATTGTTGCTTTGCCGTCGGGAGAAAATATGCGTATAGCACAAGATTTATTAAGCGGAACATAATATTGCATAATTCTTTCAAATTATGCTACGCGATAAGATCGAATGAAAACTGTGCCAGAATTTCTTTGTGCGTGATGATAAATCGCGCAGCTAGAAATGCGCTAGTATACGCATATTTCATATATATGTATTATACATACGTATAGCATTGTGATCGGCAGGTAACGTTATTTTACGCAAATTTATGAAATAATCCCTTAACATTTAAGCGATTACAAAACAGCAATATTGTGACAGCAATTTTCTTCGGGCCGTCATCGGAATGGCATGTTAATTTAATTCGATCAATAGATGTCCAAATATTCAATTATTATTATTAGAACGTGACAAAAAGTATGTTGCTCGAGGAAAATCTAACTTTACATGACGATAAAATTTCAGTGTTATTTTTACCATCGTTATTTAAATAATACAAAATGGTTTTAAAAAAAAAGGGAAAATATTGCGTATGTTTAGTCTCACGATCTCACGAGCTCTCTATGTTCAACTGAAGCTATCCAACAATGGCTGCGACGTACCTATCGTTACCCGACGTAATGACATTCCGTGTCTGGCCCCGAGCCACATTTTCCTGCACGTAATCCGTCGAATCTCGGGACGGAGAGTCCTCGGTTGTGTACATCTCTAGATAGACATAGGGAGATAGAAAGCCTCCCGAGGACCCCGCATCTCCTTACGGAAATATCGACCTGCGTACGGAATTCGACGCAGAAATCCACGTATAATATGCTATTGTCTTTCAATATTGGAGAAACGGAGATTGTCGTTGTTATAACTCCAGGCCGGTGTCACTTTGCGTCAAACCTCGCATTATTCTTGGTTCGCATTTACCATTATTTGTTATTGACAATACCGTATTTGCGATTACTAATTACCAACCATATCATGGAGAAATATTGTAAATAAGTAATTACGCAAATATAGCATAATTACTGATTTATAATATTTCTATTATGCAGAATTAATACAGTGTCCGCGCGCAAGCGCGCAAAAACCGAACTGTGATAATTTTTATTTTGGATAATTTTTAGATAAATTTATACGCTTTATTCAATTATATCCGGCATTATATGGAGGACTTTTCGCCGTAATTTTTCTCCGCATCCAATTCATATTTATATCGAAATGGCTTTTTGCGCTTTTTGTTACGTGCTTCCAATATTTAATAACTCGGTCACCGAGTACAGGTAGCGTTCATTAGCCGCGACGCGGAAAAAAGCATACCATTAAAAAATTCATAAGAGATATTTTGCATCACTGGATAACGCAGTTTGTTACAATCGTTGTTAGTTCCGAAACGCTGAATAATGTAATCCACAAAAAAAATAGCGGCTTTTTTTATCATTTTTCCATCTATCAGCCGTACTTTCCACTCTTTTAGGCAATTCCCTTTTTATTCGCAAATTATGAATTCTGAACAACATCGACGAGAAAGGCATCCTCTGCGCGCATTGTAAAGAGCTTAATTCCCGATTGATAAAATCCGCCAACGATCAGACTGTAAAATCCCGCTAAATAAGTACATTCCGTACTAAAAATTTCACGCGATTTCCATGCCGTTTTTATATTTCGATTGGCCGAAACGAAAATTGGTGTAAAATATTTCTGATTCGTTATCGCCGCGTCGATTTACGTCAATGTAATCGGCAATTTATAGACG